AACCCCAATATCCGTTGTGTTTCTACGTTCCAACGGGATGTGAAGCTACGGTACTCGTGGCAGATGCATAGGTATGATCTCATGCATAGCGGGGTTAAGAAGTTAGTGGCAAGTGAGGTCAATGCGGGTGGGATACCAGCGTCATTGCAATCAGGTACCCGATAATTAAGCTTATTTTACTTCGTCCGTCCCAGTGCCTATTTCACACTTAAAACCAAGTCCCTTCCGGTCGAATTGCACAACAATCTGTCTTCTATCTGAACCAAATCTCATTACTCAATACAACAATGTCTCTGCCCACTGCAGCTCTCGGTCGCGATGGCCCTCAGGTTAACCGCCTGGGCTTCGGCCTCATGGGCTTGTCCTCATTCTATGGCAAGCCGAAGCCAGACTCTGAACGTCTGGCAATGCTTGACTTGGCCCATAAGCTAGGCGAACGCTTCTGGGACTCTTCTGATGTGTATGGTTATCGGGACATTGGGTCTGACAACAGCTAACAGCTATTCTAGTTACGGCGACAACGAAGACTTGATAGGACAGTGGTTCAAGGCCAACCCTGACAAGCGCAAGGACATCTTTCTTGCTACCAAGTTTGCTTTCAAGGACTCGATGGGTACAATCGACACTTCTCCAGAACACGTCAGTCAACCGACATAAAGACTGCGACTGAGACATACGCTGACTTCGTAATCCCACTTTTAGGTCAAAGTGGCCATCGAGAAGTCTCTTCAGCGTCTCGGAATCGAGCAGGTAGACCTTTACTACTGTCACCGCGTCGACCAGAAGACGCCAATTGAGCTCACCGTGCAAGCCATGGCCGACCTTGTTAATCTCAAGAAAGTAAAGTATCTCGGTCTGTCAGAAGTCAGCTCTGAGACTCTACGAAGAGCGCACAAGGTCCACCCCATCTCCGCCGTACAGGTCGAATACTCCCCCTTCGCGCTGGAGATCGAGAGCAAGCAAGTCGATCTACTCAAGACATGCCGCGAGCTTGGGGTGGCAGTGGTCGCCTACTCACCGCTCAGCCGCGGTATGCTGACTGGCGCCATCAAGAGCCCCGACGACTTTGAGGAAGGCGACTTCCGTAGCTACGCGCCCCGATTCAGTGCCGAGAACTTCCCCAAAAACCTGAAGCTCGTGGACCGCATCACCGAGATTGCAAAGGCGAAGGGTGTTACGCCTGGTCAGTTGACACTGGCGTGGTTGATGGCACAGGGTGACGATATCTTCCCAATCCCGGGTACTACCAAGCCTGAGCGTCTGGAGGAGAACGTTGGGAGTGTGAAGGTTGAGCTAAGCAAGGAGGAGGAACAGAAGATTCGCAAGGCGTGCGAAGAGGCAGAGGTTAGCGGTGGACGCTATCCTGAGAGCTTCATGAAGATGTGCTATGCCAACACGCCGTCGCTGGATGAGTACCGCGATAGTGGTGCGGACAAGACGGGGGCTGAAGGAAAGCCGACCCACACAGCAGATATCATTGGTGGATCATAGAGTACCACGTGGAACGATGAAGCGTAGAATATGGTCATAAGATCCTGGAGCGGTCTAGGAAATGGAAGCTGTGTAGATACACATTCAATTGGACACTCTGACTCTTCAACTCTTGTGTCGCATACCAAATGAATTTGCAAGCTAGGTCGCATAGTCGCGGGCTGATCATGTGATGGATGTGGGAGCGAAAGAACACGAATACTCCGAAAAGTTGCCCTGGTTTCAAGACTGGAGGAAAGGATATGACCCATCTCTAGCGTACAGTAAGCCTGACTATGACATCACTTTGCCTCACAAACCCAGCATTCCATGTCTTCCAGGGTCGATCATGAGCCATATGCATGTCGAAACAGCGGAGGAGCTCTGGAACGAGTTTGTGAACTTCCGCCAAGGCAACCTAAGGAAGATGTGTGATCAGTATACCAACAATAGAAGCGACGCTAGTACATTCCATCTCTCATAGAGGACTTACGTTCTTTCCGATACATGTCCTTGTTCCTACACCGAACAGCAGCATCCCCCTTTCCATCTCAAATTTTCTGGCCTCGCTCTCTAGCCAGCGCTCTGGTCGAAACTCCAAAGCGTCTTCGCCGAAGAGCTTCTTATCGTATTGTACTATCTGCGGATTGACACCGACGTGGTATCCAGCGGGAATGTAGACGCCAGACAGGGTAATACCCTGTGCAGGAGCTATGCGACTCATGTTGAATCCGGTACTTGGAAAAAGGCGAGAGGCTTCTTTAATGCACGCACTGATATACGGTAGGTGCTTCGTTGATTCTGCGAAGCTGACAGGTGTGCTGAGGAGGTGTTGCTGGGTCTGTAGTTCCTGGGTCGCTTTAGACATGGCATCGGGCGTCCTTATAAGGTAGTATAAAACTGCCCTCAAGTTGACGGCGACAGAATCAGCGCCAGCCATAATACCAGCCCAAGACTCCAGTGTGACTTCTTTGTGTGTGAACCAAGCTTCACTATCTTTCTGTCCCACTTTACGCAGGAGCTGAGAAAGGATGTCTTGACTCTGATCGTCCGCTTCTGCCGAGCGTTGTAGTCGAAGTTGTGTCTGGCGTTTCGCTTCCACTACGGTAGCTTGTACGCCTTTGAACTGCTTTAAATTACTAGGAACACACATGGCGGCCAGCATGATGATGCTGCGCATGTAGGTCGGTGCCGCAGTACTGAAAGCAAGAAGCGGGGCAGCGTTGTGTACAGATTCAATAAAGGAATCCACATGTGTACCTTTCTCCAAGAAACCAAAGGATTGGCCGAAAAGGATGTGCCCAATTACATCATGAGCAAATAGTTCGAGCCAAAGCCCCAGGTCTACCTCTTCGTTTGTTTCGGCAAATTTGTCCAGTCGCACTTTCAACAAGTTTGTGCAATCATCGATCGCATCTTGATGCTTCAAAATGTTGACCATTTGATAGGCAGGCTGAACAATTCGACGATATCTGGTGTGCTTCTCTTCGTCTGTCTCGGTGAAGAGGTCTGCGTGCTCGCTGATACCTCGTGGGCGGAAGGAAACATACCTGCCGATTTAGCAGTCATGCACCGCGTGCGTATGCTACCTGTAAGCGTGACTTACCAGTCCGTCTTGGTTAAAGGTTTCTGGGTACTGTAGACGAGTGATATCGCGTCTGGATCACTGGAGCTAACCTCGTTTGGAGCGATGCGTATAAGAGGGCCATACTGCTCATGTAGCTCGCGTTGGACGACCTCAAGATCACCGCGAAACATGCGGTACACTGTTGGTAAGTTCTGTGTCAGAATGATTGGCTTTTAAACAAGCTACTTCCCGAGTTTGGGACTGAAAGCAGCGGTTGCAAGGTCGTTGTGGCGATAAGAATGCAGATTTGAGGGGGTTCTTACTACTCAGCAATTAGAATTTCTCGTACCGCAAGGTGTATTAGAGCGTGTGCACCTGAGCCACGTTCGCGAGATGGCAGGCCATAACGGGCCCGGTACACGTGCAAGTGGGTGTAGTGTACGACAATAGACGATGCACATAACCCAGTATGCTGCAAGCAGAAGAAGGAGGTTGGTTGCAGAAGGCACTCGCAAAAGTTCGTTCAAGGCCATTTTCAGTTGTCGCGATTATGTTGATCAAACCGAGGATGTTCAGTAGGCAGCTGCGGTGTAGGCATCGGACGCTCTTAAGTAGATGTGCCAAGCTTGTGTGCAACCACTCTGTGATGGTGTGTAGGTACGGCAGTTCCCTACGTACCACTGGGAACCCTGCGAACGACATGTGCATATGAATCCTGGGAAGTGCAGTTGCTACCTGGCCATGCACACGCTTGAAGGTGCATAGTCTGGCGTGAGGAGTCGCGAGGACGTATGCGTAAGCACACCGGACGAAAGACTGATGGTATCCATTGAGATTGCGCGACGACGGAACATGATATGGGCATGATGGCGATGAAATCAAGGGCTTGCGATAGAAAAAGCATAGTTGCAGGGAGAGGCTGGAGTGTGAGGGGATGCGCCGATGGAGGAGGAAGCGGCGCTAGCAGCGTTCAACGGATCGTGGACATGTTGCCGCTTTGGGACGGAACAATCCTGGCAGGCCATCGCGCGATTCCGCTGACCTCACACCCGAGTCAACTTTCCACCGCCTGGACATTCTCGTGTATTCGCCCTGGACAGCCCCTCACGTTGATAGAGGGATAGCAAGCGGACGCAGCACATCTGTCCGCCCAGCCATTGGCCCCCGACGCATCCAGCAAAAGCACCCGTGCACGTCATCCTCGCGCACTCCTCCACACAATTCCAGCGCAGCCATGGGCTTCATCACGGGCTTCGTAAGTGCTGCCAATCGCTTGCAATAACATCAGCTAACCTATGCAGCTCGGAGGCGTCACACTCACCACAGGCGTTCTCTATCTCAGCATCTCCCTACACACACAAAACCGCATAACACAAGCTGCGCTCCTACGACAGCAACGCCAAGTCCTCACCGAATTCTACGAGCCCAAGAAGCCAGAACCAGAGCCCACAAGCCGGGAAGCACCCGTCGGGCTAGCCGAGATGGCCAAGGACCGCTGGAACAGAAGCCTCGAGGAGGGCGTGAAGAAGGTCTACACAACAGATTGGCGGAGAGTACGGGAAGAGGCCGAGGACAGGGCGAGCGCCATTATGCAGAAGATCAGGGAGAGCAGCAAATGAGCGTGTGGTCGCGCGTGTATACTAGGAGCAAGTGAAGGCGGCGCTATGGCACGATTGCGACGATACCCCTCTGGCGACTGTACAAATATTCGGGCTTGCAATACGACCAGCATAGATTTTCCGAGTAGCATGGTAGGCTGCTTGTGCACCATCTCTTTCGTTGCGTCATTCCGTGATCCTGGTCCTCGACTTTCAAGCTACTCCCCACGTTTCCCTCTGATATTGTTCGTTTGCGTCCGCATGGCAACACCGCGCGTTTGCCTAGCTCCCCTCTCACCTCCCAACCAGCAACATCACAACACTTTGGTTTCGTCTTGCACAACAACGCAGCCGCCTGCGCAACCATGGCGTCCCATGGCAAGGTCATGGACCTCTTCGACGAGCGCTATCTCGAATTGCAAGATGTTGTCGGCAACGTCGAGCCGCTACCCACTCTCGTCCCTTATGAGCAGTACAAGGCTCACGCCATCACCTACCGAATGGACACGAACCATGACATTTTCTTCGCGCTTCTCCAGGACTTCACGGAGCGCAAGGCGTTGGAGACGCGCAAGGAGCTGTGGACGTGGTGTGTGCAGTGGGAAGTCAGTCAGACAGCAGCTCGCCAATCCCTCGCGGCACCGCAATCAGCAAAGAGGCCTCGCCTTGACTTGGACCCGCCGAATACCCCTACCGCGCCGAAACCGGCCAGCAACGCGCCTCCGATGACTCTGCATGCTCGCTGTATAGATCCGGATCTCTTGCACGAGGAGGACATGTTGCGCATTCTGGTCGATATCGTGCAGGTCGACAGCACAGTGGTACCCAACTTCATCGAGTTCCTTTACAGGTGGATCGACTTTTACGAAGGAGACGGAAAGGCTCTGAAGGCGGCTCTACATGGCGAGATTCCAAGCTTGTGGGACTTTGAATATCATCCATTTCTTGTCACTCAGGAAGCCAAAAAGGAAATTAATCAAGCAAGAGGTGTCGCCCAAGACAGCGGGAAGGACGGACAAGGCGGTGACACAACCCCCCAGACGCGACAAAAGCCCGACCTAGCGGCACTCGAACGCAAGACAGAAGAAAGCGAACGTCTGAAGTACCGCGAAGTACACTTCGGCATCCAGCCCCCAAAGCTAGACGAGCCTCTGCCACCTCTCATCAATGTCCCCCGAGACCAGTACAAGCGAGCTAAGTATTACGAAGCTTGTTTCAAATCGCGACAACGCGCGTTCTTCTTACTCGTAGAGGCAGGAGTCACCGCACAGAACATGCGAGACTACCACAGAGATCAGACAATGAGCCTGCAGGAGACGCCACCGCTCGTCGATGGAGGCGGCCTCAAGAACTACGAGAAGGACGCAAAACTTGCGCAAGCTTTCAAGTCGCTCAAGGAGCGACACAGGGCAAAGCAATTGGAAATCTCCATCAGCAACAAATTGGCGGACGAGGCTCAGTTTGCTGCGCGCAGTGCTGCTCCCCGAAGTCCATCGGGTGTCCCTCTCATCCCTACCACGACCATTCACGCCGATCGCCCGGATGTGACTGACGGTATATTGCGCAAGATCCAGCAGACCAGAGATGAGGAACTCCAAACGATCAACATCGTTCCTACACCGCTTGTCGGTAGGATGAAGAGCACGCTATTTCGAGGTGCAAGAGACAAAGCGGGTTTGCAAGCGATGTTCGCGCGTAGTAGTTTCCCATCGATTCCACGTTCTTCAGGCAACTTTGACGGCGGTAGGCTGAACAAGAAACATGACGGCGATGGGAGTACCGATGAAGATTCGGACGACGGCATGAGTGCCCCAAGGGCCAGAATGCGTCTGCTGCCCACACCCTTATTGCCGTCGCCTGCATCGCTTCCTCGTCCGAACCTACCATCGCTCAAGACGCTTCCCTGTCCATCTCTACCACCGCCTGCATCGCTTCCTCGTCCAAACCTACCACCGCTACCGCGCCCATCGCCTGCGATGACCTCCACTCAACCTCAAAATACGTTCATTCCTGACACGACGTTATTCCCCCACCTGCGACACCGATCAAGCCATGCCGCTCTACCTACTACAGAAGTTGCATCTGCTGCAGCACAGACACTACCAAATGTTGCGGCGCTCATGCGAAATATCACTCCAAATCCCGCAAACCAAATGATAGGGATGCTTAAGCAACAGGTGAATCTGGCTGTGAGTCGAGTGATGTCCCAGCAGAACGCCCAAGCTGGAGGAGCCAGTGCTCAAAGCCCTCATCCTTATCCTCAACCACATGTTCCGGCGGTGTCTCAAGCTCCAAATATCACTGTATCTGAACCGCAGTTACCTCCTCAACACCAACTGCCTGGGAGCTTCCAAGGAGGCTTCGGTCCTCATGCTCGACCGCCGCTACCACCTGGATTTGAACACCACCAACATTCTCCATCTGGATATGGGGCTCATCCTTTGACACTTCCGCCGGCGGGTCTTCCCCCTGCCTGGTTCCAGTCTGATACTCACCAACCAAATCTCTCTCAGCAAGCTTACACTTCAGCTTGGCCGACGCCACTAGGACGCTCAGATCATGCACCACCTCCGGCTTTCGCACAGCGCCTAGTAGCTGCTCAAGAGACACAGGGCCATACCACTAGCTATGGTCAGCGACCTCCGAATGCGGGACCACCCCTACCACGGGCACCAGACTTGCCAAGTCTTAGCAGACCAGTTGGTCAGGGTGGATCTTTTCAGCAGCGCCAACTGCCCCCTCCAAATTCTCTGCTGGCTCCTCCTCAGGCGACTATGCAGCGCACTGCTCCATCTCCACTTAATCTTCGACCACCGGGTTCTCCTCTCTCATCATTTGCACCCAGTCTGCTAGCCACCTCTCCCTTTACTACATCCCACCGCGGCATTCCCGTCCAAATCTATCTGCCTAAGATTGTCGTACCCGCAAACACCATCGGTCCCGGCGGACTGAAGCTAGGCGACAACGGAGTAGCCGAGACCGACGCCTTCCTCCTTGGATACACCCACCCTAAGAGCGGGAAGATCACCCTCAACCGCGCAGTTTTTCTACCCTTGGGCGTGTGGGCCAACGCGCAAGATAGAGTGCGAAAGGGTCACTACCAGGTACTGGAGAGCTATGCAGCACCGAATGGAAGACCTTCAGTACCGCATCGCGCTGCCTATGAGAAGGTCAAGCAAGCTTATGAGATGATGATCATGGAATCTCCAGTAGCGAGAGAGCGAGAATTGACAAAGAGGTGGAGGGCTAGTAGGGGAAGGATGACGGCGACTCAGAGGGGTGCCGTCTGGGAAGGTTGGGCGGTGGAGGTTGACAGAGAGATCGCTCTGGATAAAGAGGACAGAAAGGGTGCTTTTGTGCAGAATGCGCTGGTTGATGGAGTTGATGAGAATAGTGATGAGGCTAGGAGGAGGAGGGAGATTGAGGAGTTGCTTGAGACGGATGAGGCGTGGGACTATGAGGAGGACGAGAACGACGATGACGAGGACGGAGTTGAGCAGGATTACGGGGATGAAATGGAGGAGGAGGAGGATGATGATGATGATGAGGGGGGTAGCGATGACGACGACGACGATGATGATGATGGAGAAGAAGAAAATGAGGTGGAGGACGGTGAGGATGAGGATGTGTATATGGACGGCTAGGCTCAGATTCATGAGATACGACAGCGTTCTGGAGCTGTTCCTAGGGATGATCCATCTAGAAGCTCAATTTGAGTTCTCTTCTCTCCAAACAAGCTAGTTCAGATACAGCGTCCACCATCCACTTCCAGATTAACTCCTGTAATGAAGCCAGCCTCTTTGCTTGCCATGAAGATACACGCATTCACCACGTCGTCCACTTCACCGATTCTACCCATGGGTACATTGGACGTGAACTTTGTCCTGTTCTCCGGTGTATCTTCCATTCCAGTGAAGGCAGAGAAGAGACCCGTTCCTGTAACAAGGGGGCAAATGGACACGACTCGGATCTGATGGGGCCCGTACTCCGCCGCGAGGCCTTTTGTCGCCTGAAGTATGCATTAATCACTGGGAGCTCGATGCGAAATTGAGATAGAGTCAAGAGTCAACTCACGTTCCAAATCGCGCCTTTACTCGCGTTGTACCATACGAGGCCTGGTCTTGGTCTGGTCGCTCCAACACTCGCGATGTTGATGATCACACCTCCTTCTTTGCGCTCGATGGCTTGATCGACCCACGCATTGCAGCCAAGATAAACACCTTTGACGTTGACGTCGAAGACCTTCTCGAACTCGTCCTCCGTGACCGTCGTCGTAGGTTTACTGGTATATGACCAACCAGCGTTATTGACGAGTATATCGCAGCGCCCAAACTTCTCGATGCAAGCCGAGACAGTAGCTTTCCAGTCGGAGGTTTTGGTCACATCCATCTTGTGGAAGGCGAGAGAGGAAGGGTTTGTGGCTGCCGTCGCTTCGCCGCCTGACTGGTTGATGTCGCAGACGAGGACTTTGGCGCCTTCAGAGGCCATGCCTTTTGATATTCCGGCGCCGAAGCCTGAGCCGCCGCCTGATGAGGTTGTTAGTGAGATGTGAGAGAATTGATGAGGATGCGCTTTACCGGTCACGATGGCGACTTTGCCATCTAGTCTGCCCATGATGAGAGGTCTGATATGTTGCGCCTCACGGTGTGAATGTAGGTAGATCAACTGTGTCTTCTCGAATATAGATTTGAATTGCTAGGGTCGAGGTTGAGTCTCAATAGCCAGCGGCGATGTCGATGTTTTGATTACAACAGAGCAAAGCGTTCCTGCCTGCCATCTCATGGACCCTGATGTCTGCCACCGGTATCGCGTCTCCAATCATCGTCAGTCGACTAGTCGTTCTTCGGAGTCGAGCACAGCAGTGAGGGGTAAGCGTGGTGCCCCGCATGGAGTTGACGTCGTGTTGGAGGACCACCGAGGTTTGGGCCAATTGGAGACCGTCTCCGCCGACGTTTCGCTGCTTTGAATGTCTGCGTCTGCGGCGTCTCTCCGGATCGCCTTTCCTGAAATATCCGGGTGTCGCTGCAGATACGCGCATTGATCATGTAGGCTATACGCTGGAAAGTGGGGAAGCTCTGTTGTGTGCAGATGCTGATAATGGTGGCCGCGGAATCGATGCGCCTTCCAAGATCGTCTCATCCAGGCAACTTCACTCCACACTCACCAGCTTCGGTCATCGATACGTAGAAACTTAGAACGAAATGGCGTCAGACAGGAAACATGAGCTACCGTTCAAGGTGCGTCAATACGAACTCGTTCTTGCGATTGACTCGTACTGATATATCCCAGCTGAACAACCCAGACTTGCTCCATAGCCTATCCTTTGTGAATGGCGATTGGGTACGAGCGAAATCGGGAAAGACGTTCGAAGTGGTCGGTCAGTCATTGTAGCATATGTACTTATCTGAAAACCGAGATCTGACAGGTGAACAGACCCTGGAACAGGAAAGGCGTGGATAGAGTGTCCTACGAACGATGCATCTGATGTCGACGATGCTGTTAAGAGCTCGCATGCATGTTTCCAGGAGTACAAGAAGATCAGCCCGCGACAACGAGCGCAGATGCTCTACCGATGGGACGCCCTCATCAAGGAGAACAGGGAAGATATAGCGACTATTCTTGTGTACGAGACCGGAAAGCCTAGAGCTGAGGCGTATGGGGAAATCGACTACTCGACAGGCTTCACATGGTGGTTTGCTGGCGAAGCCGAGCGTATCCAAGGCAGTGTCTTCACTCCCGCGCTACCAAACAGACGCATCTTCACGATCAAGCAGCCGCTTGGTGTCGCTGTCGCTTTGGTGCCCTGGAACTTCCCCATCGCCATGATTCTTCGAAAAGCTGGCGCTGCATTGGCTGCGGGCTGCACGATGATTGTGAAACCCAGCCCGGAGACACCAATCACTGTACTCACACTAGCCTACCTCGCTCAAAAGGCTGGATTCCCAAAGGGGGCGTTGAACGTTCTGACCACAGATCTCGACAAGACACCAGAGCTCAGTGAGGCGCTTTGTCGGCATCCGCTTGTGAGCAAGGTTACGTTTACAGGCTCGACGCGCGTTGGCAAGCTAGTCGCTAGAATGTGTGCAGACAATCTGAAGAAAGTCACACTCGAATTGGGCGGCAATTGCCCTGTCCTGATTTTCGACGACGCGAATATCGAGCAAGCTTTAACTCAGATCTTCGCATTGAAGTACCGACATGCGGGTCAGGCGTGTATTACGGCGAACCGGATATACGTTCAGTCTGGGATCTTCGACAAGTTCCTCGAACGCTGGAACGCAGAGACACAAAAGATCGTCGTCGGTCACGGTTCAGACGAGAAGACGACAATGGGCCCAGTGACTACTCCACGGGGTGTCGAGAAAGCACTCGCTCTTGTCGAAGATGCGAAGAAAAAAGGCGCGAAGATTCATTCGGGCGGTAATAAGGTGGACAAGGACGGTGGCTACTTCTTCGAACCTACCGTCATTACCGGTGTTACGCCAGATATGGACATTGCCAATGAAGAAGCCTTCGCCCCGATCAGTACATTCATCAAGTTCGAGACTGAAGATGAAGCTGTCAAGGCTGCAAACGACACCAGTATGGGTCTCGCATCCTACTGCTTCACAAAGAACGTTGATCGTACCTGGAGACTGTTTGAGAACCTGGAGGCCGGCATGATCGGGCTGAACACAGTATGTTGACAACGAAGACATCGGAAAGTATACTAACATGTGCCAGGGCAACTCTTCTGCTGCAGAATCGCCATTTGGTGGCATCAAACAATCCGGCTATGGCAAGGAATCAGGGAAGGATGTCGCAGTGAATGAGTACCTCATTACGAAGACGGGGACCTTTACGCTGGAGGAGCAGTCGTGAGATGGTGGGCGCTTCTCGGATGTGGTGACTGTCTCGAGCATATACATCGCTTCCAACTGTGACGCGTCGTGGCTAGCTTCGAGGGGCCTTGCCCGCAAGCTTGGTAGGTCCGCTACAGGGTGTAATGACGACCCTGACCCAAACTTGACTTGCTTGCATGTTTCACCGTCACTCTGATGTTTATGCTATTGTTGGTGGTGAGACACAAAATCGGGCAATCGTATTGTGCCGGGGCGTTTCAATCACGCACGTGATGACGTTAGTGCCCGCCCGCGCTTTGGAGCTTACCGACCGCGGCGCGCTGCTTGTACAGCTCTCGAACTTCCAACAACACCACCTCACCGAATTGCCGGACCTCTTTGAAATATAGCCGCCATCATGGACGACACGGACATGACTGATGTCGCTTACGATATTGACATTGATGTAGGCGCAGACATTGAACCGGTAGCACAGCCGTCGCAACCACAGCAGGTTGTCCAGGTGAGCATTGCGCCAGGCTGCACGAGAAGGCGCAATTGACTGACATGCGCGCCATCGCAGGAGTCGGCCGAGCAAGAACAAAATATACCCGCCGCCTACCTTGAGGACATCATTGTCCACGAAGCATGGCCCGAATCGCTCAACCTCCAGGGCGTGAGCGACTTTGACCCCAACGACCCCCTCTACTGGGCGATGGAGCATTGCCAGTCAGACCCGCGCGTTAAGCAACTACGCTGGGTAAACGACAACTCGGTCAACCTCGAATTCTACAATAAGGAAGACGCGACCGTCGCACTAGGCATCCTCACTCACTCCGACGTGGGCGACACCAGCAACCTCTCACTACAAGAGCCCCGCACAGCACAACCATACTCAAAGAAGCCCAACAGTCGCCTTGTCATCAGGCAGTCCAACGCTGGCGACCAGAAGCCGAAGGGCGCAGCGACCAAGAGCAACTACTACCAACGCAACCCAGACGTGGCTGGCAACCACCAGAGGGAGCCGCGACGGAACCAAAAACCGCAGAAAGACTATCTCGATTATGGCGACGAGGAAATGGGCTCCAGGGACCGATCAAGACGGGGGTACAGCCGAGACCAGTCCATGGGCGACTCAGGCGCTGACCGAAGGGGCCCGCGCCGGAACGGACGAGACAACCGTGATGGCCGTGATGGACGAGAAGTCCGAGGTCGCGGTGGCAGAGGAGGTCGTCCGCCCGCTGATGGTAGACTCAGGAATGACGACGTTGATTCCTACCGACCCGGCTCAAGAAGGTACTTCAGCGCATTGCCCCATTATCCTGTCAACAAGCTAACAGACCCAGTCCACAAGAGCCACGCTTCGGCCGTCTACGAGGACGCAGCGCCTCCCCTGCCTCCGACGAAGAAGGCGACGGTCGCTTCGGATTCGCAGAGAACGAGACCCACGCGGGCCGCCGTCGGTACCGCAGCCGGAGTCGCAGCCGCAACAACACTCGCCGTCGCCGTGAACCCAGCATGGATCGCTGGACACACGACCGGGCAAACTATGATCGCGGCGGCCCTGCGAGTGGTGGACGTTGGCAGAAGGACTCTTTCCTTGACACTTCGCCAATGGGCCATAACCACCACCGGTCAAACGCCATCGACGCGACATACGGATCAAACAAGTCACGAGGAGGGGATTCGTTACTTTCTCGCATGACCAAGAACGGACAGCCCGTGCTTCCGCAACAGAAGCGTTCGCTAGCCGATAGAATCACACGCGATGACGACGATCCTGCTGAGTCGTTTGGTCGCCTCAAGGGTGACGATCGCGATCC